TGGCATCCTCTTCCTCTTCATCGCCCTCCTCCTCTTTGCAGTGGTATACCTACTGATTAGCCTCTTTAAAACAAGAAACAAAGACGGCACAGTGTAGGAGCAAGGCAGATACACCTCTCAGTCCAAGTTTTCTCTTCATGCACATGTCCAAAGATTTTGGTCTCATTTATTGGACAAATTGTTAAAAAGTTTTTGTATTTTTTGATTACAATTTATTGTGTGTGCACATGTTGGTGAAACTAGCACTGTAAAGTGATCATAAATATGTCTTACATAATCACTTTGTGTGGTGTGTGTCTGTGTGTGAAACAAAAACGTTTTTGTAAATGTTCCAGATTGATTATGTAATACGCTAGTATTACATTCACCCACATACAAAGACCACATTTCTCTTTCAGTCTCAGCCAACATGTGCTTCAGAAGATATTCAAGACAACATTAAAAGACCCATTTCTTATGAAACAAATCCTGAAATGAAGATTTATATTCCAATCAGTCCTCAGTTGTAGTAAGAGGTGTTTTTCTCTTGCCAACCGGGCTAGTTCAGTGCAGGGTAATGTTTCTGGATTTCTCACCTGTTTTCACTTGCAAGGACAATATTTCTGTGTCTGAAATAACTCGCTAATCATTATATAGTCCATCATATTGTGAATTACTCAATATATTCCACATTGCACCATAAAAAGTATAGTGTACACCCGATGGTCCAAAATATATATATATACCATCATGCTTTGCACTTGCGATGTTGCCAGGAGTAAAAATGGCAGAGAGACAGGAGCAGAGAGGCCGGGACATCTCAACATTCTCTCTCTTGCGATTCTTCTCCTCATCAAACAATACCTGAATTATCTTGAGGATAAAGACTGACGGGTTTTATATTTGGTGACAATTTCACAGTAATTAGCTGTGAGAAGAGCCGAGCAGCACATCACAGCACAAACTGAGGAAGTGAAGTTTATTTCTACATCTAAAAATGGTACCAATATGAAGTCAAAAAATACATTTGAATTTGTTTTAAGTATTCTTGCCTTCTATAGAAAGTTTAACTTGGCTTGTAGTTGTGCTTACTCTTATGATAGAGTAGCCCATTGAATACTTTTGCACACACATTGGCTTCTTTGAGGTTGTACTCCAGCATGTTTTACATACTATCTTATAACTTCCATGTTAAAGTTTATAGTAACACATCAGCTTTGTGGGGGAATAGCTGAGAGTAAATAGTACACAAGTGGAACTGAAACTGATCTTATATGTACACAGTGTTATTAACCCACACAGAAACAGATACACATTTGCCTCATTCTATTGACAATTCAAGGTGTGAGAGTATTGTAACAGACTGATGCTGTATACCCGTTTATACCCTGGACTACACCAGTGCCAATACCTCCTCCATGTCCCTTTTAATTCACACACTCAATATCAGTTTTTAAATGTGCCTGATTTTTTTCATCTAGATCCACAAATGTATTCTCTGTGAAGATGTTGAAGAGCACCCTACTTTACAATGTTAAAAAATTTTAAAAGACAAACTCCTAGATTGGCACCAAAATTTAACAGGTTCTTCCCTGACCCATAACACACACCAATTTTTAATTGTGTAATTTATTCTCAAAATGTGTTGTTGCTACTTTTACTTTTGTAAAGGATGATTTCAGAAGACAAGGGCAACAACATGAAATGAAATCAGTTGGACTCCTGTATTCAATGTTATTTCTGGATGTTTGTAAATTGTGAAATTAATCAAAGTTTTAATTTCCTGTTGCAGTTCACAACAAATGAAAATGACTGAAAGAGACAGACTGCAATGCCAAAATACATTTATTATTTGATAAATCAAGGGAAAAATGAAAACAATATCACTTTACGCAACAATATGGTTATTGCACAGTCCTGATGATTGCACAGTATATGATTAATAAATATTTATTGCACAGTGAGTAGGGATAAAGTCTGTGAGGGTTATTATTATTATGAAGAGCAGTATAGTTTCAGTCGAGCACAAAATCCTATTAGAGATTGACCTGAAAGAAAATACAACTCCCATGACTCGTCTCGTCAGCCCTGACGTTACGTTGTCTGCAGCAGTGCTTAACTTTGTGCGATGCGGAGATGTTTGTGTGGACGGAGCAGTCCAGGTATCCTCACATGACCTTAAGACCTTAAAAATGTATGAGAAACCCAACAGTTTCCACAATGAGCAGCACTTTGGGGAAACAAACTCTCATTAACTAGTTCTGTTGCAGTCTGGAGACTGTGGCAACCCTCTGCCTCTTTACCACAGGTATATACAGCATGATCTTATGAGTCTCCAGCTAAGGACTGGAGTCGTTTTAAATTAAGGGGAGAGGTCGAAATAACTAAGGAGGTAACAATAACTTAGGGACCAACAATGCCACCTGGGGCCTTTCACCCCAGGATATAATGTAAATCAAAAAAGTGGTTTAATGACAAGAAACCTAAAAGGGACACAGGTTCATGACTGAGGAGGCAGAGACAGCAAATTATATTATGCAACTATGTTTATTGATTCAAAGAATTAAAAGAAATCAAAACTGGACCTAAAAGAGAAGAAAAGAACTGAAGCTGGTGGTTCAGACAAATATAAGGTAATTAAATGACAATTTGTTTAATAACGTTGCACAATATCTAAAATGTAAGCCAGCTAAAGCAATGCTAAAAGTGCTAATGACTGTAAGAGAAAACTAAAATCAGTGGGTTGGGGCCTCAGTGGGAGGCAGACTACTGGAGAAGTGTCCCTTCCCTCTAGCCTGGGGTGNCAACTTTTTCAACATATGCCCTATAAGGCTGCAGCTGTTATGCTTGAAATATACTTGATACTTGTAAAAACATGTGTTGAAATATACTTGATACTAATATATTTTGAAATATGCTTGATTGTTGAAATTTGGTACAGACGTTCACTGAAGAAGGAACTCATTGGTTAAAAGTCAAAGGTCACTGTGACTTCACAAAATATCTTTAGCTGTAACTCAAAAATTGTAAATGGTAATTCTAACACAATTCAGCACAAAGGTGCTAATATGTCTAACAGAATAAAATTTGTCATTCAAAAGGTCAAAGGTCAACTCTACCGTGATATCAGTCAATCGATCAAATTATATTTGTATAGCCCATATTTACAAATCACAATTTCACAATATCATAATGTTCATATAATGCCCATATCTGGCCATTGTTCAACACCATTAGTGAAGAACAGATGTGGAGATTGTGAGCATATGTTCTGTAACTTGGAAATCCCCATTAAGGGTATAAAGTTCGTAACTTTATAGTCAGTCTACAGTGACAGCTGGTTGCAACATGTTAGCACCGAGGTTTCTCAAAAGAAAAAGAGGATTTCAGGTCAATGAAAAATATATTTCCAACAGGTTTGGTTTTGAGTCTATTATACATGTGAATAGAAAATGGTGTGTATTTATTTAACACTTTTCTACTCTTGATGACCACTCAAAGTCCATCCACCCATTCAAACACATTGATACAGTGCATCTATGTGCAGCACTGTCTATATCATCTCACACACTGCTGGCAGAGCAGTTTGGGGCAATTTGGAGTTCAGTTTTTTGGAGCTGCCCAAGGACACTTCGGCACAGGCAATGGTGGTCCCCAGGGGCCAAGTGCTGACTGGCTGGTTAATGGATGACCCCTGCCTAAAAGTCTGGGCTTTTCAGAAAATTACCTTTTAGACAATGTTATGGTCACCCATCCAAATTTCTGTGTATATCATGTGTTACCTTTGAGGAAAGTTTCAACTTCTTCAGTCATTCTATAATGATTGATTCATAATTATTCTTAAATATTCAATATTTCTACCTTTTTTTTCTTAATTTCATCATGTTTTGAAGCAGTTGACCACATATCACATGTTTAGAGGAAATTAGGGCCCCTTATCTATAATTGACACCTAATCCAGCATTTGAAAATCATACACAGACACTCACACATGGGCACTGTGGAAATTTATAAGATTCCTGTATAGTACTGTTAGCCTAAAATGACTGGGGATTAGAAAAACCCACAGCAAGAGGAAAATGCATAGAATCACTTCATAAAGGAAGCATTACTTATGTATTTTTTATTGCATCATTTATTAAAAATCACCATATTTGGAGAAAACCCAATGGTAGAAACCTATGGCAGTCAAAGTTCAGTCTAATGTATTAAAATTAGAAAAGATGATGAAAAATTAAAAAGTGAATTAAAGGTACAGTGTGTAGAATTGTGTGATATCTAGTGTTGAAGTTGCATGTTGCAGCTGAACACCCCTCACCTCACCCTCTCCTTCCAAACATGAAAAAGAACCTGTGGTAGCTTCAGTTGTCATAAAAACTCAAAAGGTGTTTAGTTTGTCCAGTCTGGACTAATGTAAAAAACATGGTGGCCTCCGTAGAGAGGGTCCCCTCCATGTGAATATAAAGTATTTAAATATAAAGGACCTTTTCTGGGGTAAAGAAAACTACAATTCATACAATTTAGATGAAATAAACTAGTGAAAACATCATGAGGATTATTCTACATTAAATTGCTGCCAATAGATCCCTTTCACCTAAATCTTACACACTGGACCATT